CCAGCATTGCATCAGCCTTTCATCCTTTTCAGTAATAATTGATGAATTTGCATGAGGGCAGCATTAAGCGTTCTAACGATAGACCATCAACTTGCAGTTTTCCCTGAACAGCTCCTCCATTCAGATTTTAAGGTAAGTGTGCTTCAGAGCCCAGTCTCTATCATCCAGTATCCCAGTTTGATTGTTTCAGAACCATCATGATGTCAACCTGATTTTTCTCTCCATTTTGGTATAGTGATGTAATTATGACTGGTCCTTCTTTGTTATCGTTTATTTTCTACCCGATCCTCCTTTACATTGTTACACACAGCAGTAGAGTTTCATGCAACAATTCTTAGAATTGGACGTCATGCACCTTATCGCTCCACTCCATCAACTGCTTCCCCTGTCCGTCTCTCCTCCATTGGCTTTACACCTCCATCCCAGCCTCCATCATTGTAGGTAGCGGTAGACTTTGAAGCAGTGGTTACCAGAGTCAGCCACTACCACATGTCCATCTGAGGTCAGAGCCAGACCTTGGGGTCCATAAAGAGGGTCCGCTGACGTGTTGATGTAGGACAGAAAGGAGCCACTGCCATCAAACACCTGGAAAGGATTGTTAAGAAATAGACAATATATAACCTAAAAACTTCCAACAACAGTAAGGACAACTTAGAACAGCTATACCTGTATTCTGCTGTTGCCCCAGTCAGCTACAATGATGTTCCCATTATTGTCCACAGCTACACCAGTGGGAGCGTTGAATTGGCCGTTTCCCTCACCGTTAGATCCAAATTTCAACACCAGTTCTCCCTCTGGGGTGAAGACCTGACCATGACAGAAAAAGAAATACATAACATTCAAGCGTCCTGATAAGAGGCCTTGACCAAGAAAAAATATATTGGGGAGTTAACATTCAATCAACACGTCCTTACCTTGACAGAGTGGTTATGGAAGTCAGTCACAATGATCTCATTGTTCTTGTTTACTGCTGCAAAATGTGGACCTTCAGGACAAGAACACATAATCGACAAAAACAGGCTTTCAGTACTTCAGCAAAATGTTCTGTTGGTTTCAACACTTACTGTTCCCTCCATCTGAAACCTCAACTGCTCTCAGTGCTTACTTTTCAAGTGGTCTTTTAACTTCTGTCAAAACAAGGGCTTCAACAAACATTTAACTACTTTCTGAGATGATGGATAATCACTGTAAGAATAAGATTCATAAGATTTTATCAGCATTTTGGTTTTAAAACATAGAGGAGGGTTAAAGGGTGGGAGAGCTTGTGCCAATGTGTTCTCCCTGTACCTTGACACCCTGCTTGTGCCTTTGGGGGCTGGTATGCTGGGTGTCATTATCATTTGCCACCATGCTCTATATTGCAATCCACCCTGAATGGATGAATACCATCCAGGTGACTCATTGTTATAAATTGAAATTGTTCAGTTCAGCTTTGCTTTTATTTGCAGTTGTGTTTGGACCTGTCAGAAACATTGTCAGATAGCTTGCTCATTCATCCAGCTGTCATCTCGCCTTTTGTTTGGGCAGAGTGCAGCACACACCCCTTAAATCTCGTTGTTGGTTTGATTGTGTGGACAGTGGAGTTGAAATTTAACCAAACTTGTTTTCCTGTACAGAATGCACCCCACCCTCATTCCCTCTGCCAAACTAACTCTGGTCCAAATGACAATACTCCCAATGTTAGACTACGGTGACGTAATATATAGATCAGCATGCAAAGCCTCACTCATAAACTTGACGTTCTCTATCACTCCGCCATCCGGTTTGTCATCAATGCCTCTTTCAATACTCACCACTGCACCCTATATTCCTCTGTCAACTGGCCATCCTTACACACTCGTCGTAAAATGCACTGGTTTATTCTAACAAAACCCTTCTTGGTCTTCAGGGCTAAGGTAGTTAGCTAACCCTAACCCAGCAATTGACTGGAACAACTTACAAAAAACTCTCAAACTGGACACTCTTATCCCTAAATCAGCTTTCAAGGACTCTATCACGGGTGGTTGTTCTATGTGCTGTGCTGCTGTTGTGAGTGTATGTAAGGAGGATATACATGTGATGACTGAGTTTTGCCTTCCTTATGGCTGGTATGTTTGGATATATCCTTTTAACTTTTTCTTTGTGCTGTGACTGTTAGGAATGCTGTTGGCTGTTGGATATCTTTTAACTGTGCTGTCTGTCCTTTTAACATTGACCTTTCTTTTCAGCCCCACCCCAACATGACTCTTTATATGAATCTTCATTGCTATTAAAATGTTACCTGAGCTTTGGTCTATCAAATATTCAGGATGAAATGTTCCTACCTATTTCTTACATGTTTTTTAAGTTGTTCACTGGGCAGTCTGTTTCATTGAAGGTTATCTACCTGCAAATTGTTTGTCACCATTGCCTCGACTTCCAAACTTGGTGATGAGCTTGCCAGTCAGCTGGAAGATGAAGACAGTGCATGCCTTGTTGTCAACAACTATCACATTTCCATTCAGGTCTATGGTCACACCCTTTGGCCCCATGAGTCTCCCAGAGCCAAGCTTTGCCTGATAGAAACCACACACAACACATGAGGAGAATTAGACATCAGAAAACAACATCATTTAGATATTTGTTGTTATGGTAAGTTAAGTATAAAATAAATAAAATCCTTGTAAAATGTACAGTACAATTTACACAATGTATTCAAAACTGTAACCCTAGATCCTTTGACAGCTAAATGTCACATCTGTACGACTACCTTGAACTTTCCTTCACAGGAGAAGATGCTGACCCATTTGTTGTCATAGTCAGCAATGATGATGTCACCACTGGGGTGCACAGCTACCCCTGTAGGACGCTGTAGTTGCCCCGGTGATCGTCCCCTCACCCCAAAACGGCTCTTGAATTCCCCCTCATTTGCAAAAATCTGAAACAAAGAGACAACTGTGAGGACATTGATGTATATAATGCATACCATCAATTTTAACACATTCCAAGTCCATTCTCAGACTTCTGTAAAAAAATGGCTATACCTGAACACACTGATTGTTGCTGTCAGCAATCAGGATCCTGCCAGTGGAAGAGGCAGCCACTCCTTGAAGATTAGTGAACTCTCCTTTGTTCCTCCCCTTTGTTCCTGGATAGAACAAGAAAATGTATTTCAATCATTTTTGTTTGTTTTTGTTCTGGCACTAACCCTAACCCAAAGCGTCTTTTGATTAACAGGAAGTAAAATGTTGTGAAGGAAATCATTGAGTGTTTTTGGTTGCATCATGGCCCATGTCTTTATCATTTTTTGTCGTTCTTGAAATACAATTAAAGCCTATAGCTGCATTAAAAAGTAGTATTTTCTGTTTTCAAAATGTTAAGAGTAGAGAAGCATTGCGGGCAGCCAGACTGACCCTGTCCTTGGATACAACATTTATTAGCTCTGATAATTGAATTAGTATTAGCTTTAGTATCAGTAATGTCAAAGTAATGTCTCACCAATCCTGAAGATCAGGTCGTCCTCAATGGGGTTCTGGGTTTTGCGTCGTGGGGTGCCCAGGGCGCTGCTGGCCCTCTTGGAACCTTTCTTCTTCTGGCCAGGGGACTTTCCTCGTCGTTTTGCCCCCTCAGAGGAGCCCGTGGATGGGGTTGCGTAAGCAGCTGAGTTTGTTGCAGTGGTGGTGGAGGGGGACACCTGGTGGGACAAAAATACATGACTTTAAAGCATGAATTTAGGATTTCTGGTTGGTGTATTCTGACCTAAAAATGACGAGACCAGACTTTGGGTCAGGGGTGTTCTGAACAATCATATTTGTTTCAATACTTCAATGGTATCAATATATCTAACACTTATTGTCCTAAGCATATTTCCTCAGTTATCTCATCTTTAATTTACACTTATAATGAACTGGTTTGTTTAAAGTGTACCGTGACAGTTGAGGCTGTGCAAGACAGTTGTTTTGTTTTCACCTTTGTTTAAAATATTTGACATACAGCTGATTTCACCAACCCACACACTCTCCACTCACCTCGACTTCAGCCTCAAATGCGCCACTGACTGTCAGTTTGAAAGGGCTTCCTTTGATGTGCTGGTCATACAGACGAAGAGCCAATGAGAAGTTACCCTCCTTTGGTACTATGTACACAAACTCATAGGTTCCATTCTTGTGGTCCACTATTTCACCGTCCACTATGCTTCCATCAGGGGTGAACACCTGGATAAACACAAGGATTATTTGATGTCATTTTGGTGTGTTTTACCACATTTTACTTGAATGTGGGCGTAAGGCTAACCTCCGCTGACAGGATTGCATTGCCACTCTTACAGGCTCCACCTGACTTGTCTCTTGTCACTATGGTAACAGAGGAAGGATGTCCCACAATGCACTGCTCCAGGCCTGCACCCATGGCTTCACTCTGGCTTGCCACGGCACTGATGATGAGCAGATGACAAGTCATTAAAATGTTAGTAAACACAAAAGTATTTTTAGCAGGGGCCTAATTATTTTGAACTGTACAACCTGGTTGTAACGATGGTCCCTAAGTTGTGTATAGACTTCCTTAACCCGTCAGTCTCCATTATCAGATCCAGCTGATCGTTCTCCTCTGGCTGACATGGTAGCCCGAGACCGGCAAGCTCCTGAAGATTCTCTTGCAGTTCCCGTTCCACCTGATGGCTTGCCACACATGCCTCCCCAGCCAGAGCCTCTTCCGTCTGAGTACTAGAGGCCATGATGTCACCTTCCCCCCGGACAAGGCTATCAACCTGGGCCTGGAGGACCTGGAGACAGATATGAGATTTTCTTTTACTTTTCCCCAAAAACAATAAGAAGTTTTTGAAAAACACAATTAATTGCTCAGCTAAGATTATTCAGCTCACAAATTCAGAATAGCACCACAATATAAATTACAGCTAAGTCTTTCTGATATGTAGGATGTATGTACCTTCTGTTTGAGACCATATGTGACCTCCAGCTCCATCAGCAAAACACTCTTCCGGACATCCAGCTGCTTGTGCAGATCCTCAAAGCTGGACTGGATGTCCTCTTCGATGGAAGCTCTCTGATTTGTCAGCTGCTGAAGAATCTCTTTAATGAAGGAGAGGGCGTCTGAAATCTGAGGCAGCCTGTATAGACACATATGAGGTAAAAGATTGGAATACAGCTGAGGAAAGCTCTTTTCATATCTTTAAATCATCTCTACATACTCATTGTCAAACATCCTGCTCTTGCTTTTGATTTTCTTTCTCTGTTCAACTTAGTTTGTCTGGACCTGCTTGTACCTCATATCTACATGTATGTACTGTTCTGTACCTTGTGCCTTAATGTTGCGTACACTATGTGTGTAAGTACTGTATAGTGTGTATGCATATATATATGCAGAGGTTTTCCTTTCTTTCTTTCTTTTTATTTTTTTATTATTACATATATATATTTTTTTCTCTTCAGATTTTTTCTGATTGTGTAACACTGGCTGGTTGGTGGGTGGCTAGACTTGGGGGAGCATTAAGTGTGAGCGAATGTGAGTGTGTGTGTGTTTGTGGTGTGGGTGTCTCTGTGTTTAAATGTTTGGTATTATGTTTTGGATTTACCTTTTATTTTGATTTTGTATTATGATGATTAATTTATGTTTTGTAAGGACCCCCTTGAAAATGAGATGATGCATCTCAAGGGGCTATCCTTGAAATAAATTACAAAAATTACAAAAATGAAAGAGCCTGTTACATCCCTTTGTACAAGCGTCAGCATTATTAATTCTTCACCACCATCAAAAAGGTCCCAGCAGGGACACTATGTTGTCCTGTGGGGCAGATAAAATAAACCTGTTTGCAGTGAGGCTTAAGAAACATTTGATTGTAATTTATTTTTTAGGAATTTAAATGTTTCCATCTGGGCTTTGCATCCCCATGGATTTTGTGAATGCAAGGCTTATGTGAATTTGTCTGCATCTGTATGTGGGATTGCATAACAATCTAGGGGCAATCTTATTCTCATCAAAATCAATCTGCTCTTTTTTTCCATGTTGCTTAACAATTGAGTAATTCCCTGCCTTTCCACCAGATGTCAGCATCTCCTTTTCACTTCTTGAAAGTTTTCCCGTGTGGTATCTATGTCCTGTAATATCTGTGCAGCTGTGAGCAGGTGGATGGTTACTAAATTCATTAACTTAACAACAATTTTTTAGATGTTTTCTACTTCTTTGTTTTCACAGTTAAAGTGAAATGTTTAGTCTAAAACATGTACTTCACCTTTCCAGCTACAGGGTACCTACCACACTGTATCATTTTACAAAGTAAGACAAATACTTTGAAATGAGAAGTCTGTGTCCTTGTGACTTTGGGAGGTAAGGGTTCATTGGTCATGTGGCAATGAAACCCTTCAAAAAAGCCATCACATTGACTTAACAGTTTTTGTACAATGCCAAATAAGGACAATTTAAAACATAGATTTCTACCTGCTCTGGATAGTCCCCAGGCTCTCCTGCAGGCTGCTCCGGTGCTGCTCCAGGGCCTGGCTGAGGGGTACTTTAGGGTGCTCTACATGGTCCCCTACACAGTCCTCACACAGCGCACACTCGCATGCTGAACAGTAGTGGTCTGCCACCTGCGGATGGTAAGTGGAAAGGTGTAACAGAGCTTGTAATTCTGTTTGTAAACAGGGGAGGTAGGTATAGAAAAGTGTCTAGGTCTTTGAAAAATGGGTTAGCTGGATGTTTTCTAGGATTTTCCGTGTGTTGTGTTGCATAAAAAGGACTAGAAGGTGACAGTTTAGGTGCGTGATATTATCTTGCCTAGGCATTAACATCCAGCCTTCCCTGAGAAGTGTTTTCACAGTGAGGCGTGTGCATTATAGAGATATTGCACATGTTATCACCACACATTTATTAGACGGAAATGGAAACACAGATTGGTGAGCCCTTTTGAAGTCACTTTCCTACCTTCCCTGAATGTTGTGGGCAGGCATTTTTGCCGGGTGGAGCCTCCAGGACGGTGCACTCCTCGCTGCTGCTATCTGGGGAGTGTTGGTGGGCCTCCATCTGCGAGCGCCAGCCAGCTGGGGGTGAACCTCCAAACACACCCCTTATGCCACAGTGTAGCCAGGAGAGGGGGCTTGTTCAGATACAAGGTTTTTTTTATCTCTTTGTCTCACAATTCATTCCATTATGCATCAGAGAGGACGGTGAAAATCATTCACATTAACTTCTTAAGAGTATTTGAAACTGATGGATTTTAGGCAAGGCATGGCTTTTGTTGTGAAAATTGGATGCATTTCTGTAGACATACGGAGGGCCAAGACATTCAGACACACCCTTTTCTGGATCTTGCAATCACAATTAGAGGGTTGTAACCCCTTCCTGCAAGACTTTTCCACACAACACCCAGGAAAGAGTGCTGAAGATCAGATTTAGATTTGTTTTTCTGTTATTTTAGTGTACAATCCACTACTGACTTCTGAATGATTTAATAAGGGGCAAGACATCCAGAACTCCCAATGTTCCCATTTAAAATGCCTTTCGTCATCGATATGTTTCTTATTCCCAGAGCAGCATATGTCCCTTAAAACAACAAAATCCGTCCTCTTCAGGTCTGATGTAGGGAAACGCAATGGACTTTGATGTTGATGTAATTCTCAGAGTATCCAAACTGAGAGCAGCCTACATCCCCTGTGCCCTGGAGAGGGGGGGGAGGGGCGGACAAGACAATGATGAGGATTGAGTTAGAAAACAGATAAAAATTAGACGGTTGTTGGTAAGAAGTCTTCTAGTTCTTTCCTGTCCTTGATTGTACCCTTTCAACTTTGATTGTTAGGAATGAAATCAAGACCACCATAGGCAAGATCAAGTCATGACCAAGAATGGAGTATATCAAAACCAAGACCAGACCAAGGTTTTCAGTGATCGAGACCAAAACCACACATGTAACCCTCAAGTACAACAAGTAAATTGGTGAAGGATTCATAGATTAAGAAGCAATGTATTTGAACAGTTGTTTTAATAATTATATAGGAAATGTGCATCTTGGACTGATTTTAGTTTTTTCCGTGACCTTCCTGAGAGCTCTAGCCAACACTGGACCCAAACACACAAACAGTCTGTTATTCTCACTATAGGAATGCCCATATGTTCCCTCCAGGTGGTTCATCAGATCACTGAAAACCCCTGATAACACTCCAGATGGTATAGTCCGTAGTAAGAACATGTCAGCAGTACCAGGAGCAGATGGTTCAATCCGGAGTTGGGGGAAGGACGGTTGTGCAGCAGGTAGGACCAACAGAGGAGAAGGTAGCAATAAAGATCTTCTAGGAGCAGTAATGTAGGTCACACGAATGTCTTCAAAGTCATGGAAAGAGAGAGAGAGAGAGAGAGAGAGAGAGAGAGATAGGGGTGAGGCAGTGGTTACCATGGTACCAGACTGCCTAGGGAGGGGATGAGGATGAGATACAACAAAAAGTGAAGCAGTCACGGTCTCTTTCCTCAAATCCTAAATTTAAGCATCTGTGCGCTTCAAAGAGCAGAATTGATCACAGCAGTATTCACTATGGTAAATGTCCCAGTTCATGAGTGACACAGACGTGATGATACAGAATCAGTATCAACACCAACTCATTGAAACGTGTTCTTACTCCCAACTCCCAAATACAGCAGCTTAGTCTGTGGCCCTAAAGTTCAAAATATGATGACATGCAAAGATTCCCCATTAACGTCACCTTCTAACATGCAAGGCTCCGTGGTCAAGTTAGTTAAATATGCAACACAGTTTTGAAAAGAAATAAATCAGGCTAACGGAAAGAAATGAGCAACCACAAGGAATAATTTCTAAATAAAGTTTGCTGACAAACATTCACATATGACTAAGAAACACAGAGGGTATCCAGAAGACAAGCGTCGGTCTCAATGGGTCCTCCCTGCTAAAATAAAGGATCAATACAAATAATAAAAACATTTTATAATTCTCAAATCTTTCTCTGTTGCTATGGGAGAAGTTTCCTCATCCTCTGCCCCCCTCACATGCGGTGTTCCCCAGGGTTCAATTCACGGCACATTATTATTTTCCTTATGCATGTTTCCTTTGGGTCACATTATTGGATAAACAATATTAATTTCCATTTTTATGTAGATGACACCAAACAATACATCCCTCTAACCAGTCGGCTCTAACCACCCTAGTTTGTGAACCATTTAGGAATCACAATTCAGCTCTGTGAATAATGAACCGTACACCTCTAGTTTTAATGTAATACCTTTTACAGAGTAAACTAATGATGATTACATTACACTAAATGTGTTCTTCCTCTCATGAGATGCTTTTATATTTTCGTTCCCGTTGTTCTTCTTTCTGTCTCACTTCTTTTCTTTTGTGTTGTTTTGTTGTCTGTCTACGTTTCATGTGTCTGACTACATTTTCAACACGTCTGTGTGTAAAATAAAAACTGGAGTTTCTTATGAATAATGTATAAAGGGGGAGGGAGCCGCCTGTGATCTTCTATATAATCCTATTTTAACAGCTACGACCTTGCTGATACCAAAGTCGTCTTACACGAACAAATACATATTTAATGTCCGTCTAGACTCACAGATATCGCTGGTCTCCTGTTCCTCTCATATCTTCTGCTTTTTGTCTCTAATAAAAAATAAACACATAATTTAATTTATATCAACTGCTAACGACATGTTACACAAAAACCATGCAGACACAACGGATACACCCACACCCTCATTCAAGGAATCCCTGCAGTGAAACCGCTGCAGAGGATTATGTGTGTGTGTGCGTGTGTGTGCGCGCGCGTGTGTGTGTGTCTCCGGGCCTTGTGACACTGGTGACTCTCTGTAACTGTCACTTATGGAGAGACAAATTAACCCTTTCTTTCTTTCTTTCTTTCTTTCTCGTTCAAGAATACAGATGACTAATGACTGTTAAGATGTCCACCACATGGCAAGCTGCATGAGCATCGACTCTAGAGAGGGGGGGTCGGGAGCATAATCTATGATGTTTTGAAATTGTTGTGTCTTAGTGGTTGTGTGTCTTATTGGTGGTTGTGTGTCTTATTGGTGGTTGTGTGTCTTAGTGGTTGTGTATCTTAGTGGTTGTGTGTCTTAGTGGTGGTTGTGTGTCTTAATGGTGGTTGTGTGTCTTAGTGGTTGTGTATCTTAGTGGTTGTGTGTCTTAGTGGTGGTTGTGTGTCTTAATGGTGGTTGTGTGTCTTTGTGGTTGTGTGTCTTATTGGTGGTTGTGTGTCTTAGTGGTTGTGTATCTTAGTGGTTGTGTGTCTTAGTGGTGGTTGTGTGTCTTATTGGTGGTTGTGTGTCTTAGTGGTTGTGTATCTTAGTGGTTGTGTGTCTTAGTGGTGGTTGTGTGTCTTAATGGTGGTTGTGTGTCTTTGTGGTTGTGTGTCTTATTGGTGGTTGTGTGTCTTAGTGGTGGTTGTGTGTCTTAGTGGTTGTGTATCTTAGTGGTGGTTGTGTGTCTTAATGGTGGTTGTGTGTCTTTGTGGTTGTGTGTCTTATTGGTGGTTGTGTGTCTTATTGGTGGTTGTGTGTCTTAGTGGTTGTGTGTCTTTGTGGTTGTGTGTCTTTGTGGTTGTGTGTCTTTGTGGTTGTGTGTCTTAGTGGTGGTTGTGTGTCTTAGTGGTTGTGTGTCTTTGTGGTTGTGTGTCTTTGTGGTTGTGTGTCTTAGTGGTGGTTGTGTGTCTTAGTGGTTGTGTGTCTTATTGGTGGTTGTGTCTTATTGGTGGTTGTGTGTCTTAGTGGTTGTGTGTCTTATTGGTGGTTGTGTGTCTTAGTGGTGGTTGTGTGTCTTAGTGGTTGTGTGTCTTATTGGTGGTTGTGTGTCTTAGTGGTTGTGTGTCTTATTGGTGGTTGTGTGTCTTATTGGTGGTTGTGTCTTAGTAGTGGCTGTGTGTCTTTGTGGTTGTGTCTTAGTGGTTGTGTGTCTTAGTGGTTGTGTGTCTTATTGGTGGTTGTGTGTCTTAGTGGTTGTGTGTCTTAGTGGTTGTGTGTCTTAGTGGTTGTGTGTCTTATTGGTGGTTGTGTCTTAGTAGTGGCTGTGTGTCTTTGTGGTTGTGTCTTTGTGGTTGTGTGTCTTTGTGGTTGTGTCTTAGTGGTTGTGTGTCTTAGTGGTTGTGTCTTAGTGGTGGTTGTGTGTCTTAATGGTGGTTGTGTGTCTTTGTGGTTGTGTGTCTTTGTGGTTGTGTGTCTTAGTGGTGGTTGTGTCTTAGTGGTGGTTGTGTGTCTTAGTGGTGGTTGTGTGTCTTAGTGGTGGTTGTGTGTCTTTGTAGTGGTTGTGTGTTTTAGTGGTGGTTGTGTGTCTTAGTGGTTGTGTGTCTTTGTAGTGGTTGTGTGTCTTAATGGTGGTTGTGTGTCTTAGTGGTGGTTGTGTGTCTTAGTGGTGGTTGTGTGTCTTTGTAGTGGTTGTGTGTTTTAGTGGTGGTTGTGTGTCTTAGTGGTTGTGTGTCTTTGTAGTGGTTGTGTGTCTTAATGGTGGTTGTGTGTCTTAGTGGTGGTTGTGTGTCTTAGTGGTGGTTGTGTGTCTTTGTAGTGGTTGTGTGTTTAGTGGTGGTTGTGTGTCTTAGTGGTTGTGTGTCTTAGTGGTGGTTGTGTATCTTAGTGGTTGTGTCTTTGTGGTGGTTGTGTGTCTTATTGGTTGTGTGTCTTAGTGGTGGTTGTGTGTCTTAGTGGTGGTTGTGTGTCTTAGTGGTTGTGTGTCTTAGTGGTGGTTGTGTGTCTTAGTGGTGGTTGTGTGTCTTTGTGGTGGTTGTGTATCTTAGTGGTGGTTGTGTATCTTAGTGGTGGTTGTGTGTCTTTGTGGTGGTTGTGTATCTTAGTGGTTGTGTGTCTTAGTGGTGGTTGTGTGTCTTAGTGGTGGTTGTGTGTCTTTGTGGTGGTTGTGTCTTAGTGGTGGTTGTGTGTCTTAGTGGTTGTGTGTCTTAGTGGTGGTTGTGTGTCTTAGTGGTGGTTGTGTGTCTTAGTGGTGGTTGTGTGTCTTTGTGGTGGTTGTGTATCTTAGTGGTTGTGTGTCTTAGTGGTTGTGTGTCTTAGTGGTGGTTGTGTGTCTTAGTGGTGGTTGTGTGTCTTAGTGGTTGTGTGTCTTAGTGGTGGTTGTGTGTCTTAGTGGTGGTTGTGTATCTTAGTGGTTGTGTGTCTTAGTGGTTGTGTGTCTTAATGGTGGTTGTGTGTCTTAGTGGTGGTTGTGTGTCTTAGTGGTTGTGTATCTTAGTGGTTGTGTGTCTTAGTGGTGGTTATGTGTCTTAGTGGTGGTTGTGTGTCTTTGTGGTGGTTGTGTATCTTAGTGGTTGTGTGTCTTAGTGGTGGTTGTGTCTTAGTGGTGGTTGTGTGTCTTAGTGGTTGTGTGTCTTAGTGGTGGTTGTGTGTCTTAGTGGTGGTTGTGTGTCTTAGTGGTTGTGTATCTTAGTGGTGGTTGTGTCTTAGTGGTGGTTGTGTGTCTTTGTGGTGGTTGTGTGTCTTAGTGGTGGTTGTGTGTCTTAGTGGTGGTTGTGTGTCTTTGTGGTGGTTGTGTATCTTAGTGGTGGTTGTGTCTTAGTGGTGGTTGTGTGTCTTAATGGTGGTTGTGTGTCTTAGTGGTGGTTGTGTGTCTTAGTGGTGGTTGTGTGTCTTTGTAGTGGTTGTGTGTTTTAGTGGTGGTTGTGTGTCTTAGTGGTTGTGTGTCTTTGTAGTGGTTGTGTGTCTTAATGGTGGTTGTGTGTCTTAGTGGTGGTTGTGTGTCTTAGTGGTGGTTGTGTGTCTTTGTAGTGGTTGTGTGTTTTAGTGGTGGTTGTGTGTCTTAGTGGTTGTGTGTCTTAGTGGTGGTTGTGTATCTTAGTGGTTGTGTCTTTGTGGTGGTTGTGTGTCTTATTGGTTGTGTGTCTTAGTGGTGGTTGTGTGTCTTAGTGGTGGTTGTGTGTCTTAGTGGTTGTGTGTCTTAGTGGTGGTTGTGTGTCTTAGTGGTGGTTGTGTGTCTTTGTGGTGGTTGTGTATCTTAGTGGTGGTTGTGTATCTTAGTGGTGGTTGTGTGTCTTTGTGGTGGTTGTGTATCTTAGTGGTTGTGTGTCTTAGTGGTGGTTGTGTGTCTTAGTGGTGGTTGTGTGTCTTTGTGGTGGTTGTGTCTTAGTGGTGGTTGTGTGTCTTAGTGGTTGTGTGTCTTAGTGGTGGTTGTGTGTCTTAGTGGTGGTTGTGTATCTTAGTGGTTGTGTGTCTTAGTGGTTGTGTGTCTTAGTGGTGGTTGTGTGTCTTAGTGGTGGTTGTGTGTCTTAGTGGTTGTGTGTCTTAGTGGTGGTTGTGTGTCTTAGTGGTGGTTGTGTATCTTAGTGGTTGTGTGTCTTAGTGGTTGTGTGTCTTAATGGTGGTTGTGTGTCTTAGTGGTGGTTGTGTATCTTAGTGGTTGTGTGTCTTAGTGGTGGTTGTGTGTCTTAGTGGTGGTTGTGTGTCTTTGTGGTGGTTGTGTATCTTAGTGGTTGTGTGTCTTAGTGGTGGTTGTGTCTTAGTGGTGGTTGTGTGTCTTAGTGGTTGTGTGTCTTAGTGGTGGTTGTGTGTCTTAGTGGTGGTTGTGTGTCTTAGTGGTTGTGTGTCTTAGTGGTGGTTGTGTCTTAGTGGTGGTTGTGTGTCTTTGTGGTGGTTGTGTGTCTTAGTGGTGGTTGTGTGTCTTAGTGGTGGTTGTGTGTCTTTGTGGTGGTTGTGTATCTTAGTGGTTGTGTGTCTTAGTGGTGGTTGTGTGTCTTAGTGGTGGTTGTGTATCTTAGTGGTTGTGTGTCTTAGTGGTGGTTGTGTGTCTTAGTGGTTGTGTGTCTTAGTGGTGGTTGTGTATCTTTGTGGTTGTGTGTCTTAGTGGTGGTTGTGTGTCTTAGTGGTTGTGTGTCTTAGTGGTGGTTGTGTGTCTTTGTGGTTGTGTGTCTTTGTGGTGGTTGTGTGTCTTTGTGGTTGTGTCTTAGTGGTGGTTGTGGGTCTTTGTGGTTGTGTCTTAGTGGTGGTTGTGTGTCTTAGTGGTGGTTGTGTGTCTTAGTGGTGGTTGTGTGTCTTTGTGGTGGTTGTGTGTCTTTGTGGTTGTGTCTTAGTGGTTGTGTCTTAGTGGTGGTTGTGTGTCTTTGTGGTTGTGTCTTAGTGGTGGTTGTGTGTCTTTGTGGTTGTGTCTTAGTGGTGGTTGTGTGTCTTAGTGGTTGTGTGTCTTAGTGGTTGTGTCTTAGTGGTGGTTGTGTGTCTTTGTGGTTGTGTCTTAGTGGTGGTTGTGTGTCTTTGTGGTTGTGTGTCTTAGTGGTGGTTGTGTGTCTTAGTGGTTGTGTGTCTTAGTGGTTGTGTCTTAGTGGTGGTTGTGTGTCTTAGTGGTGGTTGTGTGTCTTAGTGGTTGTGTGTCTTAGTGGTTGTGTCTTAGTGGTGGTTGTGTGTCTTAGTGGTTGTGTCTTTGTGGTTGTGTCTTAGTGGTGGTTGTGTGTCTTAGTGGTTGTGTCTTAGTGGTTGTGTCTTAGTGGTGGTTGTGTGTCTTAGTGGTGGTTGTGTGTCTTTGTGGTTGTGTGTCTTTGTGGTTGTGTCTGAGTCTCAGTCGGTCTTCTTCAGAGTCCATGTAATTGTTTCCATCGGTTTGGTTACTTTGTGTTGTAGGACTTGAGTCCTGGACTTGGACTACAGTGAGACCCGAGCCGTGATTTTGAGGACTCGTCACAGGACTTGGACTTGAGCTCTTACTGCATTTGGACTCAGAAGACGAAGAGGACTCAGACTGATAAAGACTGTGGTTATGTTTTTGTTAGGGTACCACTGCTTTGGTGAGGATTCTTTAAAGCCTTTAGAAGATGTTAAGAGAGATCTTGGAGGATCCAGGGAGGAGAGACTGAAGACGTGCTGAAGGCCTCAGTGGAAACCTGAATGACGAGCCTGACCAGCACCTCCATCTGTGCCACTTCATTAACGCTCTGTTTATATTTGTGGTAGTTTGGAGTCTACATGAAGTCATTAAATCAGCTCTCCAACTGAAACATACATGAATGAAACCGTCCTGGTTAATACGTCGCTCAGCCTTCTCCTGTCTGCTCCAAATGTAATCCATCAGAGCTGTGAAGACCAGAGTGGAACAGAAGTGACGTACCTGCTGTTACTATTAGCACTCAGGATGCTAACGTTCAGCACATACAGGCCTGATGACACACACACCCACACACACACACACACACACACACACACTTGTATTTGCTCTACAGCTGAGGTGGCGTTCTGACATTTATCCTCCACCCTTCATCCCGCAATCTGTCCATCCTCTCTCTCGCTCTCTCTCCCAGATGCTACAGATGCTGCTGTCATCTTCAGCATTCCTCCATCCATCCTCTGTCCATCCACCCATCTGTCCTCTCTCAGCCCTCCACCCCTAAAAACACAGATCCAGCACTCACCATGTCCTCCTCAGACGCAGCCCCCTGTCAGTGTGACTGTTTCTGTTTTCCAGCCTGGAGCCACGGCGTCATGATAGTGTCTTGTTTGCTCCTTCTCTCTCTCTCCTCTCCTCTCTGCTGTGTGTCTGTGGGAGTGGGAGGGGGAGGATATCATCGTCACGGCAACACCAGCAGCTTGCAGCAGCACCAGCTTGAAGGGGGGAGGGGGAGTGGGGGGTGAGCCTCGCTGCAGCATCGACCAATAAGGAGCAAGATGAGGGAGAGATAAGAGAGTTGACTGGTTCATCAGTCTGTCAGTTAGAAGATAGAGGGCGTACGATTCTCTCTCTCTCTCTCTCTCTCTCTCTCTCTCTCTCTCTCTGACACAGCGCTGCATGTTTATTCTAAGAAGGACATTTTATTTATTTTTATTTACAATTTTTTCAGAAAACAGTTTCACACAAACAACCAGCAGCCAAACACACAAATAACAAATTTAAACATCAAACGTCTCTTTAGATCGTCCACAAACACATCAGGAAGAACATCTGCAGCCAGATGTGTCCGCCTCCAAGTCCCATAAAATCCTCCAATCAGAGAAGCTTGTTGAGTTTCAGCTCTTTTTGTGATTTGTTCTGAGAAAAGGAAGCAGCAGACTAAAATGGTACATCATCATTGTTGTTGATTATTTTAACTTAAATAAAAAGAGTTGTTTTTTTCATTGATCAGATTTATTGAAATATTTAAAAGCCATAAAAAGGACTGAGGTCATTTACACATTATTATGATTGTTTTTATTTTTATTAAATCTCATACTGATTTATCTTCATTTTAAATTTCTGATTAAAATGTTCATTAGTTTGTTCATTTTTGTATTTACTACTTTTTATTATTCTGTTGTTTTTGTTGTTTTTAATTTTCTTAATTTGTTTTAGATCACTTTACTTTCTTTAACTCTAAAATAATAAAGTATAATATAAATAACTATTTTCAAATCATTAATAAACCTTTGCATTAAAAAATATTAACTTAATAGAATAAATATAATTATATTATAATAAAGTTACATTTAGAATTAATAACATTAAAAAGGATTAGAAAGTGTTAGTGTACTAAGTGTGCAAACAGTTCAGCTTCCGGTCCAGCAGGTGGCGGTATGGCGCTGTGTAGACAGTTCAGCTTCCGGTCCAGCAGGTGGCGGTATGGCGCTGTGTAGACAGTTCAGCTTCCGGTCCAGCAGGTGGCGGTATGGCGCTGTGTAGCAGCTCGTGTTAAAAAGAAGAGGATGCGCATGCGTGAGGAGAAGAAGCGGGAGAGTCAGAGTACCGGGAGCAGCAGGAAGAGGAGAAAGAGCCGTTTGTCTGAATTTGTGGTAATTTAACGATTTGTTGACTTTAATCTTGGAAATGAAAGACTTTATTGATGACTGACTTGATGAAGAGTCCGATGTGACCGGATGTGGCCGTTAATGATGAGTTATTTCAGCCGATGGTCGTAGATTGATCCAACATGCTGAGACAGTGGAGAGCAACAGGCTGTTTGAAAAAGCAGATTGAAGAGGTTAAAATGTTTAAAGATGAAGGGTGGTGATTTAGTGAAAATGATTTCCTGCAGAAGAACTCGAACATGTGATATTTCTTTTCTTCATTAAGCTGAATGTGATTTAAAACACAGTCCTGAGGGAGTTTAAAGATTAAAATGAGATGAATCAAATAGAAAACCTTTAAAATGTTTGAAGCATCAGCTGGTTAACGTCTCACTAACACACTTCATTTAAAAACACATTACTGAACATTTCTTCTTCTTTAGGTCTCACATGTTCATTCATCGATGGAGGACGCCGCCTGTGACGATGCTGACCTTCAGGGACACCGTAGAGAGAGTCATCTTTCTTCTTCTGTCTGACTTGAAGTCGTCGGGGTCCGTACACCTGGACACAGGTGAGTTTTAACATTCACCTGCAGATTTCATCGATGATTCTAAAAATTTAAAGACAGAGTCAGTAGAAATGTTTGTGAACGTGGCCCCTCCTCCTGGGCTCAGCGCTCCCAGAAGCCCCGCCCCCTGCAGGACATAGTGTGTACGGTTACTGCTTGTAGCTAGCACAAGCTAACCGCCGGTGTCTGTCCAACAGGAAGTAGATCAACTCCACGTCCAACACAAGGTTCACCCTCGTTTCAGAACGACCTTTATCCACTTGGTGTTTCTCCTCACTCTCATTATGTTTTCTCTTCTTTGCTGCTACGTCCACGTCCGTCATATTCACCGCTTTGAATCTCGTCCAATCACTGAATTGTATCCACTCCTAAACTCACCTGCTGCGCTCTCATTGGCTGGAGGAAACACACCAGCTCCGCCCAGAAACGTCCCGAGTCAACCAGAACAAATTAGAACAGTCAAATCCAGTGAGAGGACAGAGTCTGTGCAGACACAGTGACCCTTCCTGAATATCCACAGTTCAGTAGTCAGTACTTTTCAGTAGAGTTTCAGTAGACTGAACCCTCGTGGTCATTCAGTGGTCATTGTTTGGGTCCACCTCAGTATACTGAACATTTCAGTATGGATACTAACTTCCTGGTTTCATGCAGTATGGATTGGATGAATCCTTTCAGGACATGAATTGTATTTTACCCACAATGCTTTGTGAAATTAAACGTAAATCGTCACTTCACATCCGCCTCCAAATCAAAACAAACGAGCGTGGATTAATTGAATCAATTTTTAATCTAGAGTTAAAGTCCCGACTGAAATCACTACTTTAAATTAACAACAGAAAATATAACAAAAGTCTGCATTATTATAAAACCTTTCTCCCTCTATTTAAATAATGATTTAAGTATTTAAATAATGATTTCACTATTTAAATAATGATTTAACTATTTAAATAATGAGTTCACTGTTTAAATAATGATTTAACTATTTAAATAATGATGTCACTATTTAAATAATGATTTCACTATTTAAATAATGATTTCACTATTTAAATAATGTATGGAGGCCCAGAAGGGACAATGGAGCAGCTTCACTTTAGGAGAAGACTGTTTTATTTTGAAGGAGAAGTCTGTATTTTATTTTGAAGGAAACATGCTACTGACTCTATCTTTTAAGTTTATAACAAACATAAATTAATTTGAGCCGAGTTGTTCACATCAAGTCAAATAGTGTTTTCCTGCGCTCTGTTTGCTGTGATGAAGCTTCTTCCTGCCATTCGTAGTTTCCACCAGAGGTCTAAACGACCAGAGACGGTCCAAACCTTCCTTGGATGTCTGAGCGAAAGAGAAGCCGTCTGTAAGTGTAAAATAATGTGTGCTTTAAGAAGTGACTTTATCTGCGTCTCTGTTCCAGGCTGAACCTCTCTGTGGACTCTGTGGACTCTGTGGACTCGTGAAAGCCTGCTGAAGGGGTACGTATAGATCATTTGATTTCTGACACTTTGGGTTAGAAGTTCTTCTCGGTCAAGACGTTTATCAAACCGTGTGAAGTGTCCGCCCTGTCGCTGTGATGAAGCTTCTTCCTGCCATTCGTAGTTTCCACCAGAGGTCTAAACGACCAGAGACGGTCCAAACCTTCCTTGGATGTCTGAGCGACTTTACGGAAGTTAAGATTGATCGTTGTTGTGGCGTATTGAAGTTCAAAACCTTCCATAATTTCACCTACAGTTTGGAAGACCCTGTCGGCCATGTTTCTTAGCTTCTGTCCAGTCAAAGAAAAAATCAGCTGTTGGTGTTTCCTGGTGAGTGATGCTTCTTTTAACTTCAGTGTTTCCCACACACAGACGATACCTGGACAGGGCCGCACAAAATATATTAACTTCCACCCGGATATATTTCCAGAGAGTCCCCCCCCTCCCATTGATGCCCTGTTTGAGGTGGAACATCTCATGTGAAAACAGAAGCTTCTGTTTTAATGTTTTCCTGCAGCTGACGTCATGCAGCTGTTAACTGTGCTGCAGAGCGAACTCGCTGCTGTTTGGATTTATGTTATTCAGTCATTAAAGGGTTAATCGTCTCTTCATCTGTGAAGCTGCCTCATTTAAAAAGAGTCTAACTCACAGACAGGGGGCGCTAACAGTCACGCAGAGTGAAGAAATGGTCGTCTGCTGGGTGTTGGTGGTAGCTGCGCCGCAGTATTTAGAGCACTTCCACCTCTGTATGCCTTCAAAATAAAAGCTCTCAATATGGCTCTGACATTATTATGAGCAGGGGTTAAATCAGTCCAGGCTGTCAGTGGCTTCACCCTTCAGAGCAAACTGCACGTTGGCGCCTGAACAATCCCACGCCCAGGTACAGCGTCCTTCTGTGGGAAACACTGACTACTGAGTTAAAATGTGGCTGTTGTGATCAACCACCCTCTGTTTGCTGTGATGAAGCTTCTTCCTGCCATTCGTAGTTTCCACCAGAGGTCAAAACGACCAGAGACGGTCCAAACCTTCCTTGGATGTCTGAGCGAAAGAGAAGCCGTCTGTAAGTGTAAAATAATGTGTGCTTTAAGAAGTGACTTTATCTGCGTCTCTGTTCCAGGCTGAACCTCTCTGTGGACTCTGTGGACTCTGTGGACTCGTGAAAGCCTGCTGAAGGGGTACGTATAGATCATTTGATTTCTGACACTTTGGGTTAGAAGTTCTTCTCGGTCAAGACGTTTATCAAACCGTGTGAAGTGTCCGCCCTGTCGCTGTGATGAAGCTTCTTCCTGCCATTCGTAGTTTCCACCAGAGGTCTAAACGACCAGAGACGGTCCAAACCTTCCTTGGATGTCTGAGCGACTATGATTAAACTATAATTTCTACTTGAGTTTGAAGTTCAGTCGGTTAATGTTTGTTTTCTGTTCCTCAGGTCTTCGATGAACATCTCAAAGTTAGAGATGATCCTGCTCTTCTTTGTCTTCTTCAGCTCGTGTTTTCTGTGGATCACCAAATTTCATCGTGTCTCGCCTCAGGATCGACCCCCCCCCCCCCCCCCAATGAAAATTAAATCTAGTGAGAATTAAATATTTAATGAACATTTGTACAGTTTGGATCTTGGAACAAAATAAAAATGTTTCAAAAGTGTATCAGACTTTTGTAGGACTGTTGGTGTCTGTTTAGGGTCGTGACCCGTCTGTAGGACTGTTTAGGGTCGTGACCCGTCTGTAGGACTGTACTGTGTGACCTCTCCTCGGTCTAAAGCGTCCTCGGGTCCCCTGAAAGCTTCTTTATAAATGGTAAAAGATGTGAGGTCATGTTAAGTGTGAACTTTGATTTCATAATGTTTTGAGTTCACAGTAAAGAAAAGTTCAGACTGATGAGTGATGTGTGTATATATATTCTGTATTTAGATGTGTATAAATAAATAAAAACATGAAACATTAGAAACCAGCCTCAGACATTTCTATAGGTGCTTTTTATTTTATAAATGATTCTCTTTGTAGTTTTGTGTTCTTTAAACCAGAATATTTATATGAATTGTATAATGTGACACTTTGTCTTTCAAAGTGTTTTTATTAGTGTTTAACATCACGTACTTAACAATAGCCTAACCTGTTGGAGTATAAATTATATTTAGAAGAATGAAGACTTCTAGTTCACGTGTTTTTATCGATGGTATGAAGTTTGTCCCTCTCGGCCTCCCGTACTCCCCCCGCCTCACACACGCTGTCAAAGATAGCATAGCTGCTAATCTCCGGTTAGCTAGCATAGCTGCTAATCGCCGGGAGAGGAGGACAGGTAAACAATGGCGGGAGTGCATCCTCAGGTGAGTTAATACCGTAACGTGAGAGTTGCTCACATCCCGCAGGATGACGCGTTCATCGTTTAAATTCAGTAACACGGCGAGAAAACGATGTTTAAGGTGTGAACAGCAGCTAGCTGCTCTGCTCTGCTATATATATTTATATGTTTATCTATAATAACTATAATATATAACTATAATATATAATCTATAATAACTATAATCTATAATCTATAATAACTATAATATATAATAACTATAATATATAATCTATAATAACTATAATATATAATCTATAATAACTATAATCTATAATAACTATAATATATAATCTATAATAACTATAATCTATAATCTATAATAACTATAATATATAATATATAATAACTATAATATATAATCTATAATAACTATAATATATAATCTATAATCTATAATAACTATAATATATAATCTATAATAACTATAATATATAATCTATAATATATAATCTATAATAACTATAATCTATAATCTATAATAACTATAATATATAATAACTATAATATATAATCTATAATAACTATAATATATAATCTATAATCTATAATAACTATAATATATAATCTATAATAACTATAATATATAATCTATAATAACTATAATCTATAATCTATAATAACTATAATATATAATAACTATAATATATAATCTATAATAACTATAATATATAATCTATAATAACTATAATATATAATCTATAATAACTATAATATATAATCTATAATAACTATAATATATAATCTATAATAACTATAATAACTATAATATATAATCTATAATAACTATAATATATAATCTATAATAACTATAATCTATAATCTATAATAACTATAATATATAATAACTATAATATATAATCTATAATAACTATAATATATAATCTATAATAACTATAATATATAATCTATAATAACAAACAGAAGCGGTCGGTTTCTGTTTGATTTATCATGTTATTTATATTATATCTTTAAAAGCTATTCATAAAGGTTTATTAACCTTCATTAAAGGTGTTAAAAAGTTTAGTCTGAATAAGATCCAGCTGCTTCAGGAGAGAAACATAAATACATGAAGAACACTCTTATATTATATACTTATACATATATTATATACTTATACATATATATATTATATACTTATATATATATTATATACTTATACATATATTATATACTTATACATATATATATTATATACTTATATATATATTATATACTTATACATATATTATATACTTATACATATATTATATACTTATACATATATATATTATATACTTATACATATATATACATATATATTATATACTTATACATATATATGTATATATATTATATACTTATACATATATATTATATACTTATATATATATTATATACTTATACATATATATGTATATATATATATTATATACTTATACATATATATTATATACTTATATATATATTATATACTTATACATATATATATATTATATACTTATATATATATATTATATACTTATACATATATATACTATATACTTATACATATATATTATATACTTATATATATATATTATATACTTATACATATATATTATATACTTATATATATATTATATACTTATACATATATATATATTATATACTTATATATATATTATATACTTATACATATATATATTATATACTTATACATATATATATGTATATTATATACTTATACATATATATATATTATATACTTATACATATATATATTATATACTTATATATATTATATACTTATACATATATATATTATATACTTATATTATATACTTATACATATATACGTATATAATATAAGTATATAATATATTATATACTTATACATATTATATACGTATATTATATATACGTATATAATTTATATATTATATATAAAATATACTATATATATTATATGTGTATATTATATGATATACTTATATATTATATATTATATACTTATACATATATATGTATTATATATACGTATATTATATATACGTATATAATATATTATATATATAGTATATTTTATATATAATATATTATATACTTATATACTTATATATTATATATATCATATATTATATACTTATATATCATATATATCGTATATATTTGATATATTATATACTTATATATATAATATATGATATACTTATATATATAATATATTATATACTTATAGATATCATATATTATATACTTATATATCATATATATATATTTGATATATACTTATATACATATATATGATATATATTTATATATTATATACTTTAAATTATATATTTATATATTATATACTTATATATGTATATTATATACTTATATATGTATACATATATATTATACCAGCTTACATACACAAATAACTTCACGTTACCTAAATCCAAAGCTTTAAAGAGAACCGGAATAAACTACGAGCAGCTTTGTTCTGACATATATTTCTGATATTTGATCGGCTAACACAGGGTTAGGGCTTAGGAGCAGCTTTGTTCTGACATATATTTCTGATATTTGATCGGCTAACACAGGGTTAGGGCTTAGGAGCAGCTTTGTTCTGACATATATTTCTGATATTTGATCGGCTAACACAGGGTCAGGGCTTAAGAGCAGCTTTGTTCTGACATATATTTCTGATATTTGATCGGCTAACACAGGGTCAGGGCTTAGGAGCAGCTTTGTTCTGACATATATTTCTGATATTTGATCGGCTAACACAGGGTCAGGGCTTAGGAGCAGCTTTGTTCTGACATATATTTCTGATATTTGATCGGCTAACGCAGGGTTAGGGCTTAGGAGCAGCTTTGTTCTGACATATATTTCTGATATTTGATCGGCTAACACAGGGTTAGGGCTTAGGAGCAGCTTTGTTCTGACATATATTTCTGATATTTGATCGGCTAACACAGGGTTAGGGCTTAAGAGCAGCTTTGTTCTGACATATATTTCTGATATTTGATCGGCTAACACAGGGTTAGGGCTTAGGAGCAGCTTTGTTCTGACATATATTTCTGATATTTGATCGGCTAACACAGGGTCAGGGCTTAGGAGCAGCTTTGTTCTGACATATATTTCTGATATTTGATCGGCTAACACAGGGTTAGGGCTTAAGAGCAGCTTTGTTCTGACATATATTTCTGATATTTGATCGGCTAACACAGGGTCAGGGCTTAGGAGCAGCTTTGTTCTGACATATATTTCTGATATTTGATCGGCTAACACAGGGTTAGGGCTTAGGAGCAGCTTTGTTCTGACATATATTTCTGATATTTGATCGGCTAACACAGGGTTAGGGCTTAGGAGCAGCTTTGTTCTGACATATATTTCTGATATTTGATCGGCTAACACAGGGTTAGGGCTTAGGAGCAGCTTTGTTCTGACATATATTTCTGATATTTGATCGGCTAACACAGGGTCAGGGCTTAGGAGCAGCTTTGTTCTGACATATATTTCTGATATTTGATCGGCTAACGCAGGGTTAGGGCTTAGGAGCAGCTTTGTTCTGACATATATTTCTGATATTTGATCGGCCAAGGCAGAAAAAGTCAAGTTTTAATGCTTATTATTTAAACTGCTGTTTTAACCATTTTGTTTGTGATTTTATTTTCTTCACTCATGTTGTGATTTGTTTAATCATGTTGTTGTTGTTTTGCTTGTATGGACCTGTTGTTACTACGGTAACAACTAATGGGGATCCACTGTAAATAAATACGGTGTGTTAACCTACATTAAAGAGTATTAAAGGAGCAGTAGTCCATATTAAAGGGTCCCGTGAGACCCTGACAACTCTCAGATGATATTTGCGTCCCGCCTCTGTTTCAGGACGACCTGCTGAAGATGACTCACAGAGAGAACTGGCGGTGAGTTCATCTTGTTTCTCTCACCGTAAACCTAAATCTATGACTCTGTGATTTACCCCTGTTCCTCCCTGACCGGTTTCTCTGCAGGGTTCAGCATGAGCGCATGCACGTGAAGCACAGGGGTCACGAGGCCATGCACGCTGAGATGGTGCTGATCCTCATCGCCACGCTGGTGGTGGCGCAGATCGTCCTGGTGCAGTGGAAGCAGCGCCACCACCGCTCCTACAATGTGAGTGTGTGGGGGGGTTACAGACACTGAAACCACTGTGGGGGGGGGGGCGGGCTTTGGTCTGATCCTGATTCAGCACCAGAATAACGTAACGAGCGAGCGCTGAGGTTTAACTAATGACAGTAAACAATTTAACGGGCCGTGTTCTCCACAGCTGGTGACTCTGGTCCAGATGTGGGTGGTTCCTCTTTACTTCACCATCAAGCTGTACTGGTGGAGGTTTCTGTCCATGTGGGGCATGTTCTCCGTGGTCACCAGCTATGTCATCTTCAGAGCTACACGTAGGCCGCTATCCTGCAGGACGCCCAGGTAAGAGGAACGACGTACACCCCGCTGACTTTAAAACACGTCATCAGTCTCATGATGTCACACTTCCTGTTCAGGTGACCCTTTAAATATGAAGCTTTTATTTTGTTAAGTAGATGTCAAATGATCTCTTTATTATTTGTATCTTGATGTTTTCGTCTCTGTGTCTTTGCTCCTTTGTTTTCTTTTGTAATTTCTATCTTCCTGTTCCTGTTTCCTGTGTGTATCCCCCTAGTCTTTCATTTTGAAGTTATATTTTGGGTCATGAAATTCGTTAATGGAGAGGACAACTGAAGGGAAGTGTTGGGCGGAGAGAGAACGGGGGAAGGGCACACAGCAAAGGTGGAGTTCGGATTCAAACCCACGGCTGCT